GAGGTCCCCTTGGGAAAAAATTTTTTTTCCCCCCCGGCCCCCTCCCACAGCCCCCGGGGGGGTTAAACCCCTTTTTTTTTTTTTTTTTCCCTTCCCCCCCCCCCCCCCCCCCCCCCTCTCTCTCTGTGTGTGTGTATGTATGTGACGGCTGTTCTGACCGTGGTCCAGGTGGGTCGGTCCTTGAGCGCAGCCGATGTGTCCCACCTTAACGACGAGCAACGGAAGCAGCTAGTCCGATTGAAGCAGCAGGCGTCGTCGTCGCCGCCATCTTCCGCGTCGGGGGGGGCGCAGGGGCGATGATACTTGGCGATAGTGCATCTGTCGACGCTCAATAGTTTGTATTTTCGTGTGGGCGGGTTACTGTTTCTGTCTTGCCAAGTGTTATGCCCACTTGAGCGTCCTCGAAGGCCGTTTTTTTTTGCTGTCCTTCGGAGTGGATTATTTCCTCGGCCGTCTGCGTTTTTGTGGGAGTTTCGTAGGGGTCGCCGCCTTGTTAACGATAAGCCTCTTTCTCGTTCTTTTGCCCTGCCCGATTTAGATAGCCCTGCTGTGGCTCTTCTTGTAAATCCCCGCGCGACCGTGTTATCACGCGACGCGCGTTTCGAGAGACTCGGCATTGCATGTTCTGCAGTCTACTTTGTTAGTTGTGTAGGCCTTGTCGGCATTGGTGTTCCTGTTGCGCAGCGGCGCCGGCGTTTTGATTGAAAAACACACATCCACGTCAGCTTTCCTATTTGAGTCGCAAGACTTCCAACAGCAGCCAGTGTACATAAAATGTTCAGGCCGGGTTCACATTGAGGGAGATTTAGCCCCGTGGTCGGATAGATGCACTCCTTCCGTGATGGTGTTGTTCCGCCTGTACAAGTGTGACGCTGGGGGCGGTTGGAGTGAGTCACGGTTTTTCTTGCGAAAGTAGGAGTGGGATCTGCGAAATCCTGGGACAAGTTGTGTTGATTTTCCTGTGTACCACTTTTTTTGTTGTTGTTGTCTTTGATGCCGAAACAGTTTTCAGCTTCACTAGCGAAAACAGCGAGTTCGTTTGACGCTATGGTAGGGTTAGCTGCTCAGCATTTTCATGTGCTGTGCAGCATAACTACTTCATGGGTATGCATAGAATGGAGGGTCGCAGTGAGGTAGTTGTTTCCCCTGTAGCATAGCATGTGCTACCGTTCTCGCGACATATGCTACTCGAGACATCAAATAGGCTGACCGGTTCGCGTGAGAAGCAAACAAAAGTTTGCTGTCGAAGCAGGTCGCAGCACGTAGGGCTTTGCCGAAGGAAAGAACAAGGACATGCCTGCGCCTCATGCTGTACGTTCCGGCAACAGCAGCAGGCGTCCTTTATCCAAAACCGGTTTACTTCAAGTGTTACCGAGCGCGCCCGGCAAGTGTTAACACATTTCTTGGGTCCCTACAAACGCACAAGCGTGCAACTCGCGTTGACTTAGTTGTAGCTGAATGCCGTGTGAGCAAAAACCCTGAGAGAGGGGGGGGCACCGCCGAATCAACTACCCGCAATAAAAACGGCAGCAGCTGCAAAATAAAGACCCAATACAGCGCTGCACGAACATGCCCAACCCCGTACACAGCAAGGCTAAGACAGTATTCACAAGGAGCTGCGCTCCTTCCTTTAGACATGGATGGCGTGGCATCGAGTTTCGACAGGCTTCGGCGCCTCGCCGCCAGAACCAAACCAATGCACACGTGTTCCTTTTGCACCGGTGGGCCGGCCCTTAATCACGAACACGGCCACGCGTATATACTTACCATATGCATCGCAGCCAGCCAGGGGGGGGGGCACACACACACTGCCCTCGACTGGTGCCCGAAGATTAAAAGCCCTAGTGCTGCATGTGAAAAAGCACTAGGCACGTGTACCGCTGCTGCTGTTGTCGTACGAAGAAACCCGGCAAAACGTGATGGCAAGACTGCAACAGTAAAATGTAAATGGCACACACTACAACCTCGTGGCGATATATCCGGCAATCGATTGCCGACGTTCTCCTACAGATCCGCCTGTTGTGGTACGCCGTCATCGTCCCCATTGCCGCCCAACCCGCCGCCGCCCCCGAGGCCCCCTCCCATCCCCCCGGTGCCGAAGGTAGCCCCGTCGTACGCGTAGGCCGAAGAGCTGTACGCCCCGCGGTCCTCTTGTGCGTCGAAGTTGTCGTACCTGACGATGGTGCATGGTGCACGAAAAGCCCCCCGCCGCCCGAGAGTAACGGGGGACAAAACGTGCGGCGTCATCAGTGGTGCGTTTGACGTGGCAGCACTTCTATGCAAGTAAGATACAGGTGGGGGTTAGTCACCACCTAACCCGTATGGTACACGTGTACGTGTGTCTTACTTCGGCTTGAAAAAGCCGCGGGGCACAGAATTTCTCCAGTCCGTCGCCCTGACAAGAAAACACAACACTCACCCGCCATCTACGAAGAACATGTCTTCCTTCCACAAGATCAACGCCGCCAGGGTTACGGCCTCAGAGATGAGTAGGAAGGACGCGAACCACGCCACGGCCGCCATCCCGAAGGAGTTGTAGCACGAGTAACCGTCTACATCGTCCGTATCGTCCTCGCACCTGTCCGTGGCCAACGGTAGCCGGGGGGGGCGCGTAGGCGAGGGTGGGTTGTGTGACACATTGGTACACGGGCTTGTGTCAATGTTATAGTCCTTTGATCATTGGTATGTAGGCGTTCATCAAAGTACCCCCCCTCGAACATTGGCAGGCGTGTGTCAACGTCGTCCCTTCAACCATTGGTATGCGTTCCTCCCATGTAGCCCCTTGTTGCTTGTGTGTGGTCACAGATCAGACGGGCCGTGCGGCCTGCACTATATGGCGCACCCACCACTTCGGCTCCGTTATACAGGTACCGACACCATACACAGCATTTGGGGGGCCTCTTCGTGTTCCTTCCGAGTTGGGTTTTCAGGCATCATCCAGATCAGCAGGGGGCAGGGGGCACATATCGTCCCGAAGAATGTCGAAAGAAAAATCAAGCTCATGCCACAAATTAGGTACTTAGCGGAGGCGAAGAACACAGAAATAACTCATATCCAAAGATAGAGTACGGGAATTCCGGACACAAGACCGCCCGACGGAGCCGAAACAAGAAAGCGGGATCATCGCCCACCATCCCCCCGCTCTGGAACCAACGCACACGATGACTCCCGCCCCGGCAACTCATAAATACTGCCGCCACCCGATGGTTCTGGCTGTATCCTCCACATCTTCGCGTAGGCATGGGGTATCCACGACCTCCAAGTTTCAGACAGCAAGTCCCGTGGTTCCATTTGGTGTGTGCTTTCTTGCTTGTGCGTGCGGACACAGTTTGAGGATAGAGCAAGCATCCGCTTTGCTGAGGGTCTGCCGAGAACACCATCGACAATGGCGATGTGACACCATCGCCGTGTCCGGTTGCCGACAACGACCACACCACGACGACGATCGCAACAACAATGTGCAACCTTGCTCGCTCTCACCTATGAAAAAACACGTGCCTGGCCTGAGCTCATCAAAGGGGTGGCCACTACATCAGTACTCCCTCCGCAACAACGACAACGCCTGGGCGGAACGCTGCGGAAAATACAGAAATGATTCGGTGCAGCAGCAGCAGCAGCAGCGGCAGCGGCAGCAATAGCAACAACAGCAACAGCAACAGCAACAGCAAAAGCTAAAGCAACAGTACAAGTGGTATATGGTGACATTCTCAACTCACGGCAACACGCTTCAGTATCGGCTCTCACCCCGACATCTGCCCCCAATATACGGCGGTCATGAGAGACAGGAAGCACATCATGGTGGTGATGCCGATCAGACCGCCTCCCACGATGGGTTCGATCGCCATCGCAGTGTCCATCCCCCCGTCCGTCTGCAGACCACGCAAAAAGCAGCAAAAATACCAGGAGAAAGGGCACACAGACCGCGTGCAGCGCATGAAAACACGCGGTAAAAATGCGTATTCGTTCCAAGCAGCAGAAGAAAGAAGGCTCGCATTTTCAGAGTACCAAACCGGAAACACTCGGGAGCGTATTGGCTATTCACCGTTCATTTCATGGGAGGGAGGATGTGTTCAACGCTTCTAGATCTGGTCAGCAATTTTTCCACCGGAAAAAGAAGAACGAAAGGCGTAGGCCGGGCGGGGCTGCGTTCCTAAACAGAAGGCAGCCAGAAAGGGGGTAGGGCGGGTACGTGTTCGGGTAAGCACGTTTTTCATGGTACCGGGCCACAGAGGGGGGGGGGGGGGGGGGGGGGGGCCCCGGTCCCTTTTTTTGGGCCCCCTGGCCGAAAAAGGTGGCCAAAAGGGGGATAAAAAACCCCGGTTTTCCGCCGAAGACACCAATCCCTGGGCGGGGGGGGGCCCAAAAAAAAACTTTTTTTGCCCTATAGGGGGCCGCCCGGGGAAGGGGCCCCCTTGCCAAAACAAAAAAAAAAGAGTTTACCCCCCCCCTTTGAAAGGTCCAAACCCACCAAAAAAAACCCCCCCCCCCCCCTTGGGAAACAAAACAACAAAAGG